CTTGGGTATCTGAGAGGGGGACAGGGGCCAATGTGTGTATGGGTTGGAGGATATAAAGGGACTTGTACAAAAGGACATAAAAGAAACTGGGGGAGTGTGCGCGGTTCTGCGTCACATTGGAGTAGTACAGAGAGAGATTGAAGAGTAAGACGCCGAGAGGAAATGAAGATTAACATCAGATCAGATTTGGCCACCCGAGAGCCTCAGTCCCCCTTAATCCTGTAATCCCTGAGATTTCATCTCAGACCGTTCGGAGACCCTTTTTTTCTTTCCTTTCAGGGCTGGCTGGCTGGCTGGTTCAGTCAAGTCCAGTCCAGTCGAGTAAAGTCGAGTAAAGTCCAGTCATGCCTCCTGGTCTTTCTCGGGCAAACCCTCTTCCTTCTTCTCTCCGACAATGCGACCGTGCATTTTGCGGGCCACCTCGTCGGTCATGAAGTCGCCGTAGTTGACGGTAAAGCACGCCGCAATCACCGCGACACAGGCAAAGGCCACCACGGCGTACCAAACGTATCTGCAATCGAGTTTTTGTTAGAAGTCGTAAACTGTGTGAAATGACACAGAGAGGGGAGAAAGGGGGGAGGACAGGGACGAGGCTGGACTCACTTGAATGCGTCGGCGGCGGCAGAGGCGGTCGCAGCCGCGACAGCTGCGGTTATGGTCGGGTTCATTCCTTGGACGCCACTCAGGTCGCCGGACGCAAGGGAGGTCAGCAGTGCGGAGAGACTATCCTGCGGGAGACCAGCTGCGAGGGCGGCCTGGGTCACTCTAGGCCCGGTAAAGTCGGAGAGCTTGTTGCTCAGGATCGTCGTGTAGATAGCCGTGGCAACGCTGGCGCCGCTGGACCGGATGCTCCCAAGGGCACCCAGGGCGACACCAATGTCTTCGGTCGGGAGGGGCAAGGGTGCCAGAGCAAGGGCACAGGTCTCGACGATTCCGACCGTCAAACAGGCAATGAACAAAATGCCAATGCCCTTTGACTCTTGACCAGGCCCGACGGTGATCATGGCCGCCGAGAAGGCCAGCAGGACCAAGGTGGCCCCGACCATGAGCCAGCGAGACTGTGGGATCCATCTGCACATGGGCCCTCCGATGATCTGTCCGATGAAAAACGAGGCGCCCACCACACAGGCCAGCCAGCCTCGATGGGTCGGCGAGCCACCGAACAGGTAGCTGATCTGCTGGGGCCACAGGACCGTCATCGAATAGTAGACACAGCTGCCGACCATGGCGGTCAGAACCATGGCGAGATAGCCTCTATACTTGAACAGCCGCATGGGTAGGAGCGCATCGCCCTTGTGGAATTTGGCGTCGTAGACGACAAAGATGACCAAGACGACGAAGCCCACGACGATCGAAGCGATGACGTGGGCCGATTTCCAGGGATAGAGGATTCCTCCCCACGACAGTCCCATCAGGAAGATTATCAGGCCGCCGGTAAAGAGGAAAAGTCCCACAAAGTCTTGCCGTGCCAACTGTCGCCTCGTGGAGCGATCGAGATGGAGTTGGCGGAAGCTCGGTGGATGGTAGCAGAAGAAGAACAGAATCACAGCCAGTCCCGTCACGATGATGTTGAGATAGTACGACCAGCGCCAACCGGCTGCCGTTTTTTCAGCCAACGTCTGGGCAATGACGGGCCCAAACCCCGCAAACTCGATGGGAGACAAGAAGATGCCTGAGATCCAGAGCGGACGGTGCTTGTTCGGGACCAGTTCGGAGATGGCGACGGTGAAAGATATCTGCACGGCTCCTCCAAGTCCGTTGAGAATGTTGGCACCGATCAGACTGTCGACGCGGCTTGCGGTCGCTCCTATGATGGAGCCGACCAGGGAAAAGGCGTTGCCACCAATGAAAAACCATCTCCGGCCAAAGATATCAGACAGCCGCCCGATGATGAGAAAGCCCACGGACAGGCCCAGGGTGTATGCCAAAGCGACCCAGGTAATGTTCTTGGAAGGGCCGATATCCGCGTTGATGATGGCCAACGAGTTTGAAGGCAGCGACCAACCCAGAAGGTTGCTGATACTTCCCAAGGCGAGAGCCTATCCGCGCACGTCGCGTTAGCAATTGAATCTGCCACTGAAATGGGAACACCAACAAAGGCCAACACTCACGATAACAGTGCCAATGAAGCCGACGCTGCGATAGTAGTGCTTGGGCAGGTTGTTGCCCAAGGCTCCTTCGTCAATGGCAAAGGTTTCAGTCTGGATGGCAATATGTTGTTCGCCCACCGAGTTGACCTCGACAGGGCGTGCGATTTTGTCTTCATCCATTGTGTAGTTGGTCGCGAAAGAATATGTCAAGCCTTCGAGTGACCAATGCCCAGTCCTCTATATGTAGAGGACCGGCACCAAGCTCCTTACCCCAGGCTTTGGTCTCCGCCTCTACACCTGACTTGCGGAGATAAGGGTCCGGAGTGCAACGCCGAGGTTGAGACCAATCTAAACTTTTCCACTACCACTGTGGCGGAGCCTTGAGCGCCGAGCAGTGCCAACACCAAATACTGAAGTTCACAAAGCCCAGATGCTCTCGGCCGCCAGCTTCCGCAATGGTGATGGTTGGACCTCGTCTCCATTCTCGGCGGAAACAACCTCACTCTTCTATCTCACAGTTTCATTGGAGACGCCAGCATATTATTCCGCAAGTGTGGCGTTGTGAGGTGTCTGGCTAAATGCAGAATGTAGAGGGAAGAATGCAAAATGAATAAGTTTGGGTGGAGTCGTATAGAAAGATGATTGGTGATCGTACATACGATTGACCAGTCTTAACTGGATCAGGCGATAATATGGGTCTGGTTCTGTTCCATTTATTCCGACCGAGAGCTTCTAGTGGAATATTTCACAGAGAGGACAGCGGCGTTGCATGTCTTTGTAGCGAGAAGCGCAAGCTATAGTACTTAGCTGTTCAAGGTATGTTTGACTTCACCTTGTCACCCTTTCCATCAGGTGCATAGCATGGGAGCATATCTTGCCCACGGCTCAGGACCAGAAAATACACCAAGCCCGAATTGTTGGAGGCGGAACCCGCTTGTGGAATGTACACGATCCCAATACCCCTATGAGGGGGGCATCGAGTCTATCATCTGAGCACTTAGGGAAATTGCCTCGTCATTTCGTATCCGAAAACGGATTGTTTCTGGTCCATACCGTGGATTCATCGTAGGAGCTGGTATATATGTGAAGGTAATTTCAGGGAAGGTCGACCGAGAACGCTGCAGCCTGACGTAAGACCTGATCAGGCATGCGAGGCAGTCAGGGGAGCGATCTTGGCACATACCGTAGACGGAAATGACATTGACGACCAAACTCAACGAGAAATTTCCCCGCAAGCTGCGTCAAGCTGCAAAACACTGAATCATCTACACGACTTGGAACGAACACTTGATAGATATTTCCAAACAACCACGCGCCCGACAACAAGTGAAGTAAGTCTTGCCTGTTATGGGAGAATCATCCCTCCCCGATCAGTCGCAAGCCTCTCACCACTCCCAATATCGCCTGCGCGTCACCGCCGGGCCTTCGTACGATTCCGCCACCCACAAAACCGTCCCCGTCAACAGCCCCAAAACCCTCACGTTCGAGACCCGTTCCATAATCTTCTCTGTGTGTGTCCGCATTCGCCATTTCACAGGGTTTCCGCCCTCATCTCCCGTCACCGCCGAGAAATACTTCACCTCCGACCTACATAAATATGACCAGTACAGCATATCCTTGAGTTTCGTCCCCAAGCGGGACATTCCGGGTGAAGAGCTGGTGTTTGGGAATGATTTCGACCGGCCTATACGAGATAGATTACCGCCCGGATTCAACCAGGCATTTAGAATTGTGAAATGGTGGATTGATCCAGGGTTAGATGGGGATGTCTACGCGGATAAACCATTCTTGTACGGTCCGGCGCTGAGTAGTTGGAATGTCTTGAGGATCGGCGACGAAGTCATACCGAAGGACCAGCTGCCATCTTCGTCCCCATCGTCAGATGTCGAGGACCGGGACGGTGAGGACGAGGTCGACGAGGATGAAAGCCACGCATGGAAGATCCCAGAGGAACATACTGAGAACTTCCACGACGTCATCGTCGAAGAAGGCGGCGAAGGTACAGGTCTCGCCCTGCGCTCCGAGGCCAACATCCCCGCCGACCCTCCTGGCCGGCAGAAACACTTCCTCAATCGCACAAATCTCTCGTCTTTCACCTTCGAGCGCGGCCGTCTCTACCAGTCCGATTTCGGCAACCCGTACTTGGACTTCAACGACTTCTCCCTCAAGTTGCCCGGCTTCACACTGAACGTGATCCAATACGTCGACTCCAAGACGCATGAACTGCGATACACTCTGAAAAACAAGAGGAGCGGGGAAGTGTATGGCGTGGTCGTGTTTACGTTACTGTTTGGTGACGAGTTGAAGGAAGCAGCTCGAGAGTATGGATCAGACAATCAAGATGGCGCGCACGTCCAAGAAGAGCGCGATAGAGACAGCGGAAGCATACCATCGGACGAGGATGACATTGATTGACAAATCTTGGGGTCGATAGAAAGCACCCCTCCACCGAATATGGAAGAGGGAATGAGAGATTAATGATACCCCAGCAAAAGAACGACGATAGAGATAGAGAGAGCACTTGTTTTGCCTCTCCTCTCTTGTTCCCCATTCAGCTTTGATTTTGGTCGCCGAACTCGTCGAATGCTGGGCCTGGCTTCTTCACGATGAATACACGTTTGGAAACAGAATTTGACGATGAATACACGATACTTCACTCCTGCAGCGAGAAACGAGACATAAAACATGCATTTCCAATCCTTTTTGTCATTCATTTTGCGCTTTGCGCGCTCGCTATGCTCACTGCCTTTTTCCCCAGCAATTGGCGCTGGTCGCCGTCTCTTTTCTCAATTCTACGTGCTCTTTGCGCACGTTTGACTACGGCGACGACCTCTTGCGGTGGACCGCCCCACCGAGAACAACCACCACCACCACCACAAGACACCGGAAAACCGCCACCGCCACCGCCCATCAGAGCGTGGTGCCGCTCACGCGGTCCTCCAGCTCGATGTCGCGCTGGCCACCACGCGTGCCCATGCCAGCGCGCCAGTCCTCGGGAATCTGGGCGCGGCGGGCACGCATGTGGCAGGTCAGCTCGCCGTTGGCCGCCTTCGCGACCAAGAGACAGCTGCTGACCGCGCAGGCGGCGACGGCGAAACCGACAACCCCGACAAAAGACCAGCCGAACGCGTTCTCCAAGGCGGCGATCGACGCCCCGAAGAGCGCCGGTGCCACCTTGCTGTCGATAAAGGTGTAGCCCAGGAGCAGCACCAGCGCGTTGTCGACGTTGGCCGGGTAGCCGGCTTCGTTGGCTTGTTCCAGCAACGCCAACTGGGCCTGGAGCCCGACGTGCATGAAAATGTTGCCGGCGATTGACAGGGAGACGGCCGCGCCGAGGTACGTCGCGAACAAGACGAACGCACGGTTGTGCAGCGGGTGTTTCTGGCGGGCATCCTGGCTGCCGCGCGCCAGTGGCGACTGGAGCAAGTCCATGAGCTGGTGGCCCATTGACAAGGTGATTGTAGACCAGGAACCGATGCAAGCAAGACCGAGCTCTTTGGCGATTGTCGGCAGGCCCTCTGAGCTGGGCAACACAGATGGCATGTTGATGAAGAGCAGGGCGGTGCCGAGGAGAAGGAAGACCGATGAGATGAGGCTCCAGAAACTGTAGCTTGGGATCATTGGGTAGCGCATGATCAAGCCGCCGCCGAGGTACACTGGCATCATCAAGACTGGGATCAAGTATGGGCCCGTCATGGTGAAGAAGAGGTAAAATGCCGTCTTGACTGCTGAGGGCTGAGGACGCGTGAGCAGTTGATAGAGCGTGGTGTAAGAGAAGCCGGTCTGGAAAATGGCAGCAGTGAGGAAAATGAGAACGAACAGAGCCATGGTCTTGAAGTTTGACAAGTACTCGACAGGGAACAGACGAGTCGATGGTGAGTTGAGAATTCGGTATGCTTGCTGAAGGATAAGCAGCACGACCAGGACGACGCCAATGACTAGGGAGATGTAAAGGTATCCGCTTGTCCATGAAATCAAGATGCCAGCGAAGTTGAATGTGACCAACAGTGTGATGATGCCGAAGAAGCAGAGCAGGCCGCCGAGGGTGTCGATGCAGTTGATGCGATGGCTCCAGTTGAAGACCGGACCACAAGCCCAGGGTGCGTTTGCCGCAATTTCAACCTCTGTGGGAAGCAGGTAGAAGAGGAAGACCAAGGCCAGGGCGAGAAGCAGGAAGGCGGTGTAGAAACCCCAGGACCAGTTCTTGTTGCGATGAGCAAAGATGGAGCCGAAGATGGGACCGACGATCAGACCGAGTGTGGAACTGAGGGTGAGGAAGAAATCACGTCGGATCTTGTCTGCGAAACTGCCCTTGTGTTCCAAAAAGACCAGCATGCCAAAGTGTTGACCTGCCAGACCCACGCCGAGGAGAATTCGGGTGTAGAAGAGGAAGGCCATGTTCGGGGCAAAACCAGGTGAGACGGTGGCGATCAAGACAATGAAGGCGAAGACGGTGTAAATGTGCTTGAACGGGACGACGACATAGAGGTGGCCTGCAATGAGTGCCGTGGCTGCCGCTCCGATGGCTGGACCAGCGATGAGCCACTGAAATCCTTGGACGTTGAGGTCATAGATGATGTTTGGGATCATGACCGGCATCATGCTCTCGGTGACCATGGTGAGAAGATTGACAGAGGCCAACAGCAGAGCAGTTGCAACCCATTTGCTGGTGGCTGTACGGTCGATGTTGATGTTTCCTCGTCCATTATTCACTTGCGGCTCAAAGAGATTTCGAGCGACCTGCGACGCCGCGGACCAGACAGTGGCTTGGTAGTGGCTGCTCGAGTCACCGAAGATGGCGCTGGTGGAATTGTTGTTGGCGGGTTCAGGTTCGATGAAGACTTCTTCGACGGTGAAGCTGGTTTCGACTCGGATGACGCCCTCGGGCGGAGTTGGTGACCTCGCGTCGCTCCAGCCGCCAGCCATGACGGTGGTGGTACCAGGCATGATGAAGTCAGACTCGAAGGGATCAGAGTGAGTGTGGAAGCTGGGAGGACCGCCGGAGAGATGACTGAAGCTGGGTGGAGGAGATGGATCTGAGCGGCGTTGAGAGTAAGCGGAAGAGTGAGAGGAAGAGAGGTGAGAGCGAGAGCGCCGAGAGCGACGAGAACGGTTATTCAACGACATTTTTTTTTGTTGCGCGGCTCAAAGTCTGAACGCTTCTCTGCGATGCGACGGGGATCTTTGGACTCTGGCGGATCGTTGACGAGGCGAAGTGCGATGTGGTGGTTACAGATCTTTTTTTGTCACGGTCAGTCCTCAACTCTCAAATGGCACGCAATCCATCTCGAACTCACCACTGATCAAGGTTCTTGCAGAACAAGAGCAAGGCGATCTGACAGCGTCTACAGGTAAAGTGACAGTGCTTTGACAATGTTACTGTCCGCTGTATCGATCACAAGAATGGAAGAAGGGAGATGTTGATGGAACAAGGGTTGATGGTGATGATGGTGGTGGTGGTGGAAAAGAGACAGCAAGAAAGAAAGAAGACGCGACCAGGTGAGGGATTTCAAAAGCTGGTCCGGCACAGCACAGTGGGAAGTGATTCTTGTCTGTTCATTTCATCTGCTCTCTCTGTGTCCATCTGCCTCTCACTTGATGCCATCTGCTCAAGCCGAAAAGCAGCCGGCTGTGCGGAAAATGGCTAGCAAAACATCTGCTCTCATTCTTCCGCCATCCTCGCCAGGTCAGGCCAGGTCGAGAATTGTCTGGCAATGGAGGCCTTTGTTGTGTTTGTGCCCATGGCCGCCAAGCGGCACGCACACGCACACAGAGGAGAGAAAATCACGTCCTGACCTGTCCTGGCCAGGAGATCCAACCAGATCAACTGCAATCGTGGAAACCTGTGGTGTTCATTGTTGGTATCCCATGCACGAATCTGCTTAGTATCAATCGTGATTCAAAATCCATTCTTCCAGTCCATCTTTCACTGAAGGATCTTATTCATAAATTTACAACGTCAAGTGTCCCCAGCATAATGTACACGAAACCTTTCTGGTGGACTGAAAACTCTTGCCTCGTGAGATGGATCACAAGCATGAAAGAGGGAATTTCCTTTTGATCGTGCTGCCAGTGGAGTTTACCAGGTACAATCAGTAGGCCTCGTCAAACCCGCAAGGCTGAATACTAGGGAGTACAAGCCAATACACCCGGACAAGTCCCATCAGATCTGATGCCAACAGCATTCACAACGTATGTCCTCATCTTTCCCCTTCCCCTAGCTGAAATTCGCCCTGGGTCATACAATTCCCACAAAAAACCCTCTGTTTCTCTCTCTGTATCATGTGTACGAACCTAGTTCCATTCACACAAAGCAGGCCCCGAGAAAAGCAATGACCAAGCGGCTTCTGTGATCAATACAAAGAGAAAAGCAACTTGGATTGCGTCTGTTTGCTCCCTCTCTGCTTTTCAGCCATTGACCCTTTCAGCCAAGGGCAAAATCTATATTTGTTTATCATTCCTTCTCTTCTCCTCTCTCTCCCAAGGCACGCAACTGCTCAAGCATGCTTCTCTCAACCTTCCCCATCACTCCCCTCAACATGCCTGAACCCACGGGCTTGATCCAAGTCTACAGAGCCGAAAACCCGATTGTTGAGTATGCAGCACCACCAAATTCCCTCAACCTTACATGGACCTACATGAGAGATGTGAAATGGCTAATAAACGCACGCAGCGTCGTCGCCGTACATGGATTGAGGGGCCACGCCTTTAAGACATGGACGGACAGAGAGTCAGGGAAATTCTGGCTGGGAGATCCAGAGTTGCTGCCCGCCCATTTGAAGCAAGCACGGATCTTGACCTACGGTTACAATACCTCCATTACAGCAATCTTCGGCAAAACGTCGTCAGACACAATTCTCCAGCATGCGCACACCTTAGTGGCAGAACTGGTTGCGGATCGGCAGGTCAGTGGGCGCCTTCTGCTCTGATCTTACCGATTGAGGATGTTGGTTGACCGATTTTCCTCCAGATGGATGGTGCTACTTGCAGGCCCATTATCTTCGTCTGTCATTCGCTAGGGGGTATCATCGTCAAGAGGGTAAGGATGACACCGCCACTCCAGCGAGTATTCCTCTCACTCGTCTATTGAAACCCTAATGCTCTTCTTGACCAGGCAATTATCCTCTCTCATAGTCGAATATCTGGGTCGATCGTGGGCCTTCATTCAATCTACGTCTCTACCTTTGGCCTACTGTTCCTTGGGACACCGCACGAGGGCAGCGACAAAGCCGTGTTTGCATCTTACATCCGAGTCCTTGTGGACAAACTAGCCCCTTCAAAGCTGTGCAATACCGATGGCCAGCTCCTTAACGCGCTCAAACCAGACTCGGAAACTTTGAGGAACATCACCGACATGTTTGTCCCCATCATGAAGAGGTTTCACATCTACTTCTTCTGGGAACAAGAGAAGACAAATCTCGGAGGCAGATACGACTATGTATGTGACTACTTACGACAGGAGCCAACGTAGTTCACGACCAAACCCGAAATGTTGATGCTAACAGGACGCAGGTTGTCCGCGAGTCTTCGGCAGCTCCGTTTCTCGATGGTACGGGGCGTTGCGGCCTCCCATATGATCATAGAAATATGTGCCGATTCGCGGGCCGAGATTCGCCGGGATACAAGGTCATTGTCGCTACACTGGTACGGTATTATGAGGAGGCTGGGACGATGATTGCAAGAAGATGGGATGAGGCCGACATCAAATTGAGGACCATGCGTACAAATGAAGCCGCAGAGCTGTTGAGAGATAAAATACAACCTTGACGTGCGTTGCCAAATGAGAAATTTCGTCCATGCTCAAGGCGTTTTGTATATTCACTAGCACTCCAATTCAACCTTGCAACCTTCGGTAATGGACATGACGAGGGTCATGGTCTGCCTTTCCACTCCGGTCTGCTCGACCACTTCACCCGGAGGAAGTCTGATGGTGGGGAACCGCTGGATCAATCGTACAATAGTGTAGGCAGCTTCAGTCACGGCAAAGTCCACTGAGCGTCATCCTGTCAGTTAGCATATTGTTACTCCTCAAATATCTGGGTGGCGGAGAGATCATACTGCCCAGACATATCCGTGGCCCACCATTGAACGGAAGATAGCCCCATTTGGCATTCGTGAGATCCTGGTTCAAGGGCATGTCTTCATCCCATCTTTCGGGCCGGAAGAGCTCGGCGTCCATTCCGTAGAGGTCGGGTCTTCGATGCATGGCGTAGACACTATACGCAACAGAAGCACCTTTGGGTATCGGCACGGGAGATTTCCGGTCCGGTCCGCCTCCTGTAGGCAGAATGGTCGTCCTCGTGGCTGTCCTGACATTCACAGGCACTGATGGATACAATCGAAGAGCTGTCGAATGAGTTAGTCCCGGGTCAAGTTTGGCATACGAGCTACGCAAGCGTGGGACAACAGACTTTCTTTGATAACATTCTGAAGATAGGACATACTCCGAAGACTGTTTCGATTCAATTCCGCCCCGCGGTCGCAGGCATGGCTGATCTCTGATCGTAGCTTCTCGAGCACCTTGGGGTGTCTGACCAAACTAAAACTGTACATCAATATCAGCATTCTTCAGAGGCGAGTCAACACAGGCGATAGTGTTACATCCATACAGCGTCCATGACAGAAGACAAGCGGTTGTATCACGGCCTGCAACTAATAGGTTTATAATCTGACCTCGAACCGCACATCGGTCTGGTATATCCTTTGCGACTGTATCAAGGAAAACAAACTCGGCTTCATCTGCTCTCATGCTTTCCCCGTTTTGCAATAAATTCCGGTCGATAATCTGGTCTGCAAACTTGTGCACGTTTCTGCAGGCTTCACGGAATGGCTTGCCGCCAATCAACCAGTACAAGTTGAGTAGTCGGAAGCGTTTGGCGACATATGCTTGAGCAGTGTTGAATGCAACGGCAAAGGACTTCTCGCCGACTGATTCAGGGGTTCGGAGGCTTCGTACGGATTCACCAAAAAGATAGGAGGTCGTGGTGTCGAGGGTGAGGCGAAAGAAAAGCGGCTGTAGGTCGATGACACCACCGCAACTTGGGATGGCATTGAGGAGGTCATCAACAGAATCCCGGAAAACGTCCAAGTTTTCATACTGCTTGTGAGCAAATTGTGGTCTGAGCAAGTCTCTTGACTGTTTCCATGCAGCGCCTTCTTGAGTGAAAATTCCGTCCCCAAACATTGGAAACGTTATCTCTCTCCTCAAGCCCATGCTGAAATCTGGCCAAGGGTCAACTTCCGTTGTGTGGGCGGATGTGGAAGCAGGCTCACCTTTGATTTTCGAACTTAGTATAACTTCGAGGTTTGCAGGGTCGATGGTCCCAAATGCCTTTGTCCCTAAGAATACCTGTTCAAGGGTATTTCCCGTTTGGCGAAAGTGGAAAAGAAACAGCTCCATAAGTCTTGATTCGGCATTGGCTCTGAAGATCTGCTCAAGGCGGTCAAGACCCAGGGGTCTCTGATTTCGAAGCCTAGGAGGCGGCAAGCAGCCATGGAGGCCAGCAATAGCACTATACTCCTGTGGCCTAGTCAGCCAAATCATGGCTCGTGGGGACCTGGCAGGAACGTGCCTCTTTTTTTTGGTAGCGAAGCACATAAAAAGCAAGAACAAATGCGGTGACTGTTATCCAAGAGAGGTGAAAATCCATGCTGAGTTAGTGTCCCGCACGGTCCTAGATAGTCGTAGGGTTGGTTGATGCTCGAAAGAGATATAATGCGGGAGAGAGGAGTATAAAGACCCAAAAACTACGTGTGAGCAATGGGCCACGGTAGACGCAATCATGGTCACAGGCGCTCCGTGAGCCAGAGACATGGTATGAGACAGGTGACACGAGAGAGGGGGGAAGGGTGTTTGTGTAACATGGTAAGGGATCGTCATCACGTCCATTTTTCGATCCCCCCCACCCAGTTCTCTCTGGCCAGTCTCGGCGCCATATATTTACTTGTTTATTTATTGGCTAGGCAAAAGTGGGGGCCTTGGCACCTCGGTGCCCATCGTAGCTACTCGTAGTTCGGAGTTTAGTTCTCCAGATGGCAGAGAGGAGGTATTCAGACGTCTTCCACGCTTAGGCGCCCACAACAAGTAACGGGACTGGCAGACTGGGCACATCCTTTGCCCCAGAATGTTGGACGGTTACAAGTGCTCGTCTTAGGGGCTCGTATGTACAGATTTCTGATGACGCCACCCAGCTCCTAGCGTGGTTACAATTGAACTCGGACCGGCTCGAATTACAATCAATATGTGGAGCTTCTGTCTGCATGAGAGCATGGCACGCCTTTGTTTACGTTTCGCCAGCGTTCATGAGAAAACCAAAAACTCCAGGAGATCGAGCTTGGAAGGTCGAAATCGTTCGAAATGTCTTGCAGAGGTACTGAGGAAATCGGGTGCTCGTCCAACAGTGGATACGATGCAGAAGAGCACGACAGAGATTTAAGATCCTTCAGGGTAGCCAGTTAACCGGAATCTGACATGCCAGCCTGGTCTATTCTCCTGCCTCCCTACGATGACGGATGCACTCCTCTCAGCAGACATGGTGCATGGTACTTGCTGGCGAGAATGCAGCAGTCTCAGTAATTGAGTATGGCTCTCACTAGCTTGCAAGCCAGACCAGCTGCGCTGCATGATATGCGGTTTCAGAAAGGAAAATGAGCATCCTGACCCTCCATCATCCAAGAATCGAGGGCGACGAGCCTGGCGAATCCAGCGCAGAAGTAGAGTGAGTCGTTTCCAGCCGACTTCTCGCACAATGAGACGCGATGATTCGTCCAAACACTCACCCTGTGGTGCAGCGTTGTTGCGGTCCACGGCCTCTACGAATCAGCATACGATACCTGGACCGAGCAAGCCAACGGACAGCTATGGCTTCGGGACATGTTGCCATATAGCGTGCAAAACACTAGAGTCTTAGCCTACAGTTATCCCTCGCAGAAGTTGATTTCACCAGAGGAACCCGGATCTTTGAAATTCTTGTCATGCGCAACAAACCTCATCGCAGAGCTCTATGCCGATCGATGGTACGATAAAGGGACAGAACGACCCATCATATTCGTATGCCACGGCTTCGGTGGACTGTTAGTCAAACGGGCGTTGATTCATTCCGCGAACATTTCTTCCAGGGAGACAGAGCATTTGAGATCGATTTACCTTTCAACTCATGCCATTTTGTTCTTTGGCACTCCTCACCAGGGGCTCGACGAATCGTTCTTACAATACTTCCAACGCACCTCTCCGAGATCAAACCTATTCTTCTTGAATAGCCTCCGGAAAGACTCCTCCTTCCTGGCCGATCTCGCTGATCAGTTCGCACCACTGAGAAAGAGATTTAGGATCTACCATTTTTACGAACAGAACCCATCCGTCGTGGGTGACAAAGAAACCTTTATTGTCAGCGAAAATTCAGCTGCTCCTGGCTGGGATGATGCCTGTCGATGTGGGATTTCTGCTACTCATTCGCGCATGGTCAAATTCATAGGCTGGAACAGTCCAGGCTGTAGAACCACACTTTCAACTCTCATGCAATGTCGGTCAGAGGCCCCATCATGTATCCATAGCAGGTGGCACAGCGAGCACGAGCAGCGGCGGGCTGAAAGTGAGAAGCAGGCCTCAAGAGAGTTTGACGATTCGAGAGATGAACCCTCCCCAACGTTAAGCGCTTGCGGCTCCACCAAGCATCGACAGTATCATGTTCCCCATTCATCTAGCAGCCACTTTGTTGGCAGGAGGGGGCAGTCAAAGGAGGCAAGGCAACGCTTAAGCCCTGTCGAAGGCGCTCCAACGTGGCGTAAACCGAAGATTTTGGTCGTCTGCGGTCTTGGTGGTTCTGGAAAGACTCAATTTGCCCTCAGATTTGCTGAGGAGACTCGGAGTCAATACTGGGGAACCTTCTGGGTGGATGCCACAAGTCCCGAGACTTTGGAGAATGGGTTTTCCTCTCTCGGCATGACTGCAGGAAAAGGGCTATCATCATCCAGTGCCATTCACTGGTTGTCGACCTGCTTGCGGCCTTGGCTGCTCATCTTGGACAACGCCGACGATCCGGACGTAGAGCTATGGCACTACTTTCCCGCAGGCGGAAATGGACACATCATGATCACCACGCGGAACCCGGGAGCCAATATTTACTCCACCGAGGGTCGCATCAAGTTGGGCAGGATGGATCCAGAGGAAGCAACGGTGCTATTGCTGCAATCTGCGTATCCGGCGCCTGATGTCCGAAGTCAAGATCCTACGAATAGGTGTTTGGCGGCTGCTATCGCAAAACGACTTGGCTATCTGGCCATAGCTCTGATCCATGCTGGCGCCACTATTCGAAGGAACATATATACTTTCGAGACCTATCTCCATTATTACCTTGACCATCGTCGGGTGCTCTTGAGTGCTCAGAACGTGCACAGTGCTTCATATTCCGACACGATAACTACATGGGAAATCCCGTTTCAGAGAATTGCCAAAAGAAACTCTATCGAGCACAAAGACGCTGTGGACTTGATGCACCTATTTGCCTTTCTGCATTTTGAGTCTATCCCAGAGCAGATGTTTCGGCGTTCATGGCACAATCTGTCGAGTGCTATCACAACGTCCAACGGTTGTCCTCAGTTCCTACGTGCGAACGTAGTGGGTGATGCAGAGGCTCGAGTCAGATTTCGCCGCGGCGTGCGAGTCTTGTACGATCATTCGCTCATCGACCACGATCCAGACAAGGAAATATGCTCCGTTCACCCTGTTGTCCATCGTTGGGCTCAAGAAAGACTGCCCCGTTCAGCGCAACTAGAGTGGTTGAATCACACCATCACTGTCCTAGCATCTTGCATTCCTCGGCACCTTGAGGCCTCGGGACGTCGGTTCCGCCAGGCTCTTCTTCCTCATATCGATGCCTGTCTGCGTGAGCTCAAAAACAGATTGGGCTTACTCCCTGACACGATTTCGAGAGCTACTGAAATCGAAAGGTTCGCTTCTGTGTACGCCGAAAACGGGAGATGGAAGCAGGCCAGAAATTGGCAGGAAAGCATTTTCGCTTTCAGGAGGCAAAAACTGGGTCGATGGGACGAAGACACTTTTCGTGTGCAAAAGAGCCTTGCTGAAACCAAGTGGAACTTGTTCGAGATCAAGGATGCAATCCTGATACAGAGAGAGATATTGACGTCGAGATGGCTGCTCAGGCCATCCTTGATTTATTGGATATCATGGCCACCCTGGAAGCCTGACCATCTCGAATACTGCCTTGCCTTGAACGACCTGACGGAAACTTTGTGGCTTGCTGGACAGCGAGAGTGGTCAAAATATGTTGGCGAGCGCGCGGTGCGCGGCCTCACAAAACGGTTAGGCACTGAAGATCCTCAGACCTTGAAAGCGCTATTTAACCTTGCCCGGACTTATCTGCATCTTGGAGACCAACAACTGAGTCAGAGGCTCCTTGTTAAGGTCCTTGTCAAGCGAAAAAGGTTGTTTGGCATGGACCATCCTGACACGCTCATGACGCGCAACGAACTGGGGATGAGCCTCTGCGCAAGGACGGCTCAAGACGAACAATCACGCCATCGACAACTCGCAATTGCGGAAAGGTTGGTCACCAACGTTCTCGCTACCCGAAGGCGCATTTTTGGAGAGGAGCACGCATATACCCTGTGGTCGGTGAATGATCTCTCCAAGGTGTTCTGCGAGAGACAGCGCGGTGCGGAAGCGGCAGGACTGCTGGAGGCCATTCTTGAGGTTGTCAGTCGCACTCTGGGCGATACCCATGTCGGCATGATCATGACGTGATCCAACCTGGCCCGGGCTTACGTGCTCTGCGAGCGCTGGAAAGAGGCCGAATCCCTACTGAAAAGCTTGCTGAAGGTGATTCCCCTGGACCACCCGGACTCGGTCAACGTGCGCTCTGGACTCGTACATGTCCAAATCCGGAGGCGTAACTTGGCCGAGGCAGAAGCAGGATGCCTCGAGCTGTTCGACATGATGAAAGACAAACGTTTCAAAGAGATCCTAGCGCCAGGCAACCCCCGCGCGTTGAAAATCTACGAACAAATGCTTCAGATCTATCGCCTACAAAACCGCCCCGCTGAGCTGCAAGCGTTGAGTGTTAAGGTGCCGGCCGCCAAAGTCTCGTCGCCACGGGCACGATTTGATATGCTGCCGATCCAGAAGATCCTGCGGAGAGAAAGTGAGCTCGATCGGCTTTACTGAGATGGGAAAGTTTTTGAATGTGGGGGAGATTCTCCTCCCAATGCGTCAATCTGCGCCGTGACCCCGCGAGCGGGAGTGGGACGTGCTCTGATAAGCCGCTTTGTACTAGAGATTTGGCTGTTCCGAAATAGACTTCCCTTCCACATGAAAATCGCCAGTAAAACGGTTACAAAAGTTGACGAGCAAGATATATACACTGGGGCACTGCTTGCGGGACTGACAGCCTGCATATCAAGTTTGGTAGGTGCATGAAAGTACATGGTCATATGGAGCTTGTTGTGCCTATGTTTAGCAGCCTCAAAAGAGCAAAAGAGCCGACCAGCCGACCGAGTCCCGGTCATGTCAGCGGCACTCGGACACATTCCCCCCCCCCTCTCACTATCTTGAGATGCGAGAACAAAGCTCCAATAAGTCCTTTCAGCCTCTGGGGAACACGCTCCTCTCTCTCTCTCTCTCGCCTGGGCTGCCGATCAATACATGTACAAGCCAGGGGCCCACTCTCCTTCGCCTTTCTCCTCCTTCTCAATAGCATCCAACATCCGTTTCTTGATCAGTTCCGGAGGTGGGGGGCCCGCACCGGCAGGGACCTTGCTGGTGTCGGCACAGAACAATGGCAGGGGCTTCACGCTGTCGGCGGCTGATTTGATGGCTTGGAAGTCTTCTGGCGAGAAACCTCCGCCGATGATGATGAGTGAAATGTCGGACCGGCCAGCTCCCTCGGCGTTCGAGCCCAGACCTGACGAGGGAGGGCTGACGCTGCCTTTCAGGAGGCCCGGGATCTCAGAGACTGCAGTGTCGGTGCTGTTGCAGACATGGACGACTAATACGGCAGGGGTACAGTTAACAATGAGCCACTTCAATTGAAGCAATCTCCAATTGATAGAGATCCCTCTCGCAGGAAGCGCCGTCTGGGACAGAGAACTCACCCTCGATCTTTGGAAGAAGATTCTTGAGCATGTATTCAGTCAATTGCGCATGTTTACCGCAGAGGACGGCAGCAACTGGAGCCATGTTTGACGTGTTTCTATGCATCTCAAATTAGCCAGATAGACAGTTGAGAGGGTTAGAATGCTGCGTGTGCCAACGCCATACCGTAATATCTATAGAAGTCAGAGTGATCTTTGTAATTAATTGTAAGCACCAGTACAAGGGAGAACTTTTCGATTGGAACGAAAGATGAAAAGGATGTGAAGCGAGTACACCAGGCACAATTTATTTGTTTTGAATCCAACTACAAATGCGGTGAGCCCGTGAGAGAGCACAGGGGGTTTTGTCTTGCAGACTTGGCAGGCAAGCCTCCCAAAGGTTGAAAGGAGTATGAAACTGCATAAGCGTGCGAGTATTTTGTTCTATGTGGTCCCTGCAAGAAGGATGTTCCTGAACGAACAAAACCTAGATGTCACGCAATCAAGCTGGTCGTCAATGGGTTGAGTGTCTTTGAAAGGATAATAAGATAATAAGATACATAAAAGGGGGGATCAGCACTCCAGACTCTCAACACCTGCAAAAATCAAGGCGTCCTCTCCCCCTCACGGTGGTCATGGTGCCTGCTAAGCTTCCCACGAAGCGCTTCCAGCCGCATCCCAGGGGATGGAATCCATCTCCCTGCAGCAAGATCAGCAAAGCGTCGAACTCGCCTCATCTGGGACCGAAAGTATCTACTTGAAGCCATGCACGCCCCATGTTAAACCAGTCACACACCGGTCAAAGCTTCTGGTGCCAAGATCCCGAGTACAAATACAGAAGGAGTACATACACATGAAGACCGACCTTTAGCGCCGGGTAACCATGATGATAATAAATCCCAGAGGCACGCGGGGTCCAGGCGTGTTTTCGTGTATATCGAGCATGAGACAAGGGAGGCATTGGACGAGAATGCCTCGAGCTGGCTTGTTCGATTGAGGCCGACATCTCTGTCCGAGCATCGAGCACACTATAGGAGCTCCCCTTGCGTGCTCACACCTCTCCAATCTTAGCCAGCACGCCCCCAGACCGGGTAGCCTGGCCATGTGTCGATAATGACACTGGATGCATGTGCTTTGACCTGGGCTGGGCTGTGTGGAATTGTCTTGCCAGCACGCTTAGAATGCTACCCAGTCTTTGCTCTTGACGTGTCCATCCAGAGGGCCCTACTCCGTCTGCAATGGAATGGGATTTCTTCTCGTGGGACGGTATGGGGGATTCGTTGCAGAACCAGGCATCTACTGTTCGGGGAGTTCGACACGCAGCTAGCCGAAGGACACGGAAGGAGGCTGTGTCGCCAACAGTCTGTCCGCCCAGCCACAGACACCTCAATAGGAAAAGCAGTAGGGAGGCTGTCATTTGAAAAATATTGTACCTGCAGGAATCACCCAAAAAAGACAACCAGGCCATGGTTGGTTGCGTAAGTCAGGAATTGATTTTCATGGGAAGACTTCCCAGTACATGTCGAGACAATGGGGTTGGGATAGATACCTCCTGTTACCACGCGCAGGATCGAGATGACAAGAACAATCGAACCATCCAAATGTAGATATCTGGGCATGTGGACATGGCAAACAAAGTAGAAGCACTCAATAGAAAGGTGTCCGGTGCAATGAAGGAGGCTCAGTGGGAGGAGAAAGTACATCGCAGGGACTCGGACACGTGGACCAGAACTTCGGCGTCGGCCGTAGCCCATGATTCTCCACGATGCTATGCAGCTGAATCACAACTCGTGAATCTAGCACTTATCCGCGAGTAGCCGACATGCTGGACATTGGATCTCCCTTTCATCAAAATGGGTAGTGACAGCAACCACCGCTGCAAGGGGCAACGAATTGACGGGAGTGAGGATTGAGAGGATACGGGACCTTTGGCGGCCAACGAGTCGGAGAGCTTTAGGACGCATGGTACTTCGGAGGCGACAGCACAGCGACAGCTGCAGGTGATCTACGACCGCTCTCATTCGCAGATGGCACCAAAGAGCTGCGGCAGGTCATCGTCGTGGCATGCAGTAGTAGCTGGTGCCAGTTGGACGGTACGGATTGGAGGAACTTGGCTGATGGAAGCGAAAGAGGGACCAAATGCACGGCCCTTTGGACTACCGCGCGCCATGCACAATGCGCCTGATTAGAGGTATTCAAAGTTGACCGAGAAGTCAGAGCATTGGCAAGGCGCAGATTGATAGATGCAATGGCACAAGAGGGTGGCATTCCATCTTACATAAAAGTTGTCTGTACTCATGTGTTCGCAGCACGTCCGATACTTGAGAGACGAAACCCCGAATGGTGCGAAGCCGATACAAAAGTTCCGCCAAGTTGAAGAAACCCTTTTGGTCCGGACAATGAGCGGCGGGTTCGGAGCAAAGCAAAGAAAGGATAGAACTGTCGAGAACTGCCTTGTGGCTCGGGTCATCATGCGGGATCCATGCAAGTTCTCTCTCCCCTCCCAACCTTCGCTCCCATCCCATTGCCCTTCAAGTTCAAGCTGCCACTCTTTGTGGAGCAAGTGCCGCGGGCCCTAAAACCAAAATTGCAGGAGTTTGGCCCAGAAGCCCCAGTGGCCCGCATCGACGGGTGTAACCATCAAATTGGAACCCATCCGGTACGCTCCAGCTGTTCGGTTTCCATCCGCCAACTTCGACCTCTGACTCGAGGAGGGCCCCATGTCCACTGTTCCCGCCGCAGCTAGAAGCAAAAGCAGCTAAGCCGCCGCCTCACCCGTCACGATTGGCTGCTCTGCAGGACGATCTTATGCTCTCCGACCGAATGCTTTTAGGCTGCGGGATCGACATTGAAAGGAGACATGAGGGAAGACGGGAAGGGAAAAACTCTCTTGTTCTGAGCCGGGCAAAGGGGGAAACATCGTCCTGCAATAAAGACAAGAATAGAAACACATAAGGACTGTACGAGGACGAATAGTGAGCTGGAGGATTTGAACGAGATTGATTATCACCACTGTTATCGATAGGCTGATGATTATGATACGGCAATCGATAAAGTCAGATACACCCTATGAAGGTGGAAACGTTCCCATAACAATGAAGACTGCTTCTTCCACCTCGCCGCATACAACCAAGACTCGCGTCCATGGATTTCTATGTGAGATATTGGTGACATTTGCCCATCTGATCCACAATCAGAGACAGGAAGCCTGGGAAAGTAGCCAGGACCTCGAGAGTAGTACAAAAGATGCGTTGAATGGCAACCGTGGACCGGTAACAAAGGAAAATGCTTGTGTGACAGTCTTGCTGCATACTCTTCAAGAGTATTGATCACGCATCAACGCCCCAAAAGAACCCAGTAAACTCCTAGTCGTGCCCAATCGAAGTATTCCCTTTTCCCAGACTCCTTCCGCTTGGTATCAAATTCCCAGTGTGCAGTATGATTGATTCGTACAGGCATGCGTAGCGTGCATTTATTGGAGTGATTTTGTCTTGTTTGACTTTCACCTCCATCTGTTATGGGCCATGTCCGAGGATCTCGTCTGGTCGCGAGTGACAGCGTCGCGGTGGTGGACGATGACTACCTCTCGCTTGACAGGTTTGCGAGGCTCTTTGCGCTCGCGTTGTTCTCTCCGTGAGTCGTGGTAGATTCTCTCACCAGCGCTGCTGGAGCCAGATGAGCTGTGGTATTGAGGAGCCATTTCAACCAACAGTGACGACTGGAGAATTGGAGTGTGTCTGCGATAGACCTGTTTCTTTACTTGGTGGTGGTGGGGTAAATGTGTCTGGAAGGGCGATGTATAAGACGCAGAATCTCAGCGAGGAGATGCTCTGAGATTTATATCGGGGTGCAAGGTTCACAGATTTGATGAGATGGTATGATTCCAAGAAGGTCTGGAAGGATGGCCCTCAGAGAATTGGAAACCTTGTGGCGAAGGTGCTAAAAGTGGTGACAGTGGATGGAGGTGGGGGCGAGTTCCAAAAATGTCGCTAAGGGGGTTTCTTGGGGGATGGTTGTGTTGTGATGGGATTGTGTGAGATTTGGCAGTTGCTGACTTTTGGATTGTATGAGAGTTGAGAGGGCAGAATTGAGGGA